GTCTAAAAATAAATCTTTAAAAAATATGTGCTTTCTCCAGCTCCTTTGGATCGAGGGGTAGTCTTACAGCACAGCTCTAGTCTGTAAGACATTAGTTGGGGGCCTCTGGGACAGCTTTGCTTTCCTGCTAGATTCCTTCCCTTTCTCTTCCCACTGATCTTTTTGCTTGGAACAGACCGGATGCCTGGGGCAGCAGCTCTCTTGGGACCATGAAGTTACAACTTCAAGAATATTAAGGAAAATGAAAAATGTCTGGATACCCATTGGAGTCTTGAGCCACACAATTCCAGTCCTGGACATTTTATTGCATGACATAAATCAGCCTGTATGCTACTGTTTGCTGGGTTTTCTATTATTTGCTGCCAAATGCTTGTTCTGAATAATAATGAAGAATCATTTGCCAAACATATTCTAATATTCTGCTACTTCTAGGACTCTAATCCTAGTGACATATACTCCTAGGGTGTACTGTGCTCATTCCTTCAAATTAGGCTCATTGTTACTAAAAGTAAGAGAAAAGGGAAAAAATACTAAGTCATATTTGTAGAGTGAGAAACAAAAAATGAAGATGAATCCAATACCATTTTAATACCATTTTATACCATTTAATACCATTTTTTCCCCTCAGGTTTTTAGGCTTCTTTGATTTCCCTCCTTTGCCTACTTCTTCTACTCTCATGTTCGTTTGCCTTCTACAGACCAAGTCTCTTTATCTGCTAAACTAAGTATGAAATGCAATGAGGAAAGTGGCTGCACCAATGTCTGTCCACAGAATGAAGAGGACACACAAGATAAATGTCAAGAAAAGTTCTGGAGTTGAATGGTAGCCTCTTTACAAAATGCTGTGAAGTACCTATGCATTCATGTAAATTATTTAATTCACATAATATTGCAAAACAGAAACCTTCACCCCCATTGCTGTGTGAATTATGTGGGATGTTTGCCAACTTTAGCACCTTAACTACTTACAATATCACTAAAAACCAAAGATGCCCTCCATCATTTTCCTAAAACTCTTCTTCCTCTGATATTTAGTTTTCCAGAATATTATGTTTGAAATCTAATAATTTAATTTCTTTAAACAGATTTCACACTTTGGCAGCATGGACATTTTTAATAATTAATACATCTGCTGTAGCTTTGAAAACTGGTTTTTAGAATCAGCGTCTTAGAAAAGTAAGGGCATTTCTTCCTCCTTCATCTTCAGAGAAAGCAAATACTCAAAATCACTATGAGCATTAACACTTTAATGTAATTAGACATGATTTTTCTATTACTCAGTGTGCACTTACACTGCTTTTAGATGTGGGTTAAAGAAACAGAATTTTTAAATTAATGCAATATAAATGGTTTATTTACAAATTCATAGATCCATATTGCCATTAAATGAACTCAACAATACAGTTATTTGCTAGGACCATAACCAAAACCAGTGTTTCCAAACTTGATTCAATTGTATATCATTTGGTGATTTTGAGGTACTACCTCTACCATGGTTTTTTAATATTTTTCTTTAAATTGATTTAAAATATATTTACACATTAACCTTGCCTCATCCTAAGCAACAATAGCAATAAAATCATGATTATGTATCTTTTCTAATATGTATTATGACAGTGTTTATAAATATAAAAATAAAAGTAATTTGTCCCTTACCAACCTAAAATAATCTGTTTCCACAATGTAGAAAACATTGCCATAATTGAATTAAAATTTCAAATGGATGGTGAGAACTTTTTTAAGAAGAGAAAAAGTCTGAGAATTTTGTTTTTTATAAAGACCCTTACCCTAGCCAACTCTGGGAAGCAAAAGGGCTTACAATATTATTGTCTAATAGAAAGAATCCTGGTCTAGAATTCTGCTCTGCCCTGCTACATTCTATGCTTCAGTTTCTTATGTTTAGGGAGATTAGGGAAAAAACCCAACATATCTCCCTGACATAACCTTTCTTAGATTCAGTATACACAATTAAAGAGGATCCAACAGCAAGTGGCCAGGATGATGAGAAAGGTTGGGAGGACCTGGTGGTGTTTTATCACAGAGACGAGGCCACTTAGGAGAAGATATCACAGTGCTGAATGGCTGTGATCAAGGAGGTGAAGTACAGAAGAAAGTTTCATACAGAGAAGAATAGTTAGAGCTCTTTAGCTGGTTTTGGGATTCAGCTGGAGTTAATCAAGAAGGGAGGGGATCAATCACTGGTCTGTGATGTTGAAGAGGATCATGTGTTGGGTAAGGCTTGGACAGACAGCATCAGGTCCTTTCCCACCTTGATAATAACAATAGAGACCGATTACTAAATGCTCCCTAAGCTGGACTAAGCATTTTAATGTGTCTTATCTCATTTAATTTCCACGATAATCCATAGGGGTAGGTATGATGTTACACATTTTACAAATGGAGTAACAGTCTAAAATTTGATAGAGGTTGAATTTGAACCCAGGCCAGAGTGACTCAAAGCTCATCTATTAGCCATTATATTATAAATGTGGTCTGGGAAAGATAAAGTTTTTGTTTTGTTCAGAAAGTTTCTTTGACCATTCAGCCAAACTGAAGCCAAGTTGTCTTCTTGAAAAAATTTTGTTGTAAACTATAATTGTGTGAAAAGGAAACTGAAAAGCTGTTATCTTAGCTGGCTTCCTTCAGATTTCTGAGAAAGCCAACATATTTCCCAAGGAAAACTTATGCTTTTAATTGTAATCTGTGTTTTGAGAGTACAGAACAGAATGGAAGAAACCAACATTTCCTAAGGAAAACTTATGCTTTTAATTTTTATATTTTTGTATTTTTAGTGGAGAACAGAAGAATCCAGAAGCCATGCTACTTATTTATCCAAATGATGTTACAAAATCAGCAAAAGCTTTGACTTCTTTTGTCTGAATCCTTTTGAAAAAAAAAAAACATTTTGAAAGTATGTTCAAGGAAAGGGAGGGCAAATTTTATTTTTTAGCACCTTGGGTATCTCAAATAGTCTCAAGGGGTATCAGAATGTTTTCCACAAATAATTCAAAATCATGTAAAACAAATCTGTGCCTTAATCATGTTTTAAGTAGAAAGAAATTTAGGAAATCAAACAAATAGTCACAGCAGGTGGTCTAGAAACTCCAGAAAGTTTTGATTGAAACTGGCTTAATAACAATAACAACAACAAAACCCATAAAAGGCTAACGGTGGGGGTGGGGAGGAGGAGAGGAAGGACGGAAGTAAGGAAGGAAGGAAGGAAGGAAGGAAGGAAGGGAGGAAGGAAGGAAGGAAGGAAGGGAGGAAAAAAAGGAGGAAAGGAGGGCAGGAAGGAGGAAGGACACTTGGAACCAGAGTACTCACTCATCCTTGGTGATACTACTTATCAATGAGTTTTGCATTTATTTTCTTGAGGAAAATATCCTAAGAAAAATGATTGTTATCTCTATTGCATTGTCTAATAGATTCACATATTTCTCTTAATCTCTATATTGTAAAACTTGCATTCAAAATTAAAAACAATAGTTTTACTTCTTTGAATCTTGATATAAGATCCCACAGTGGATTTCACATTTGCTTTTTTTCTTTCCATCTTAAGTTCTCTCTTTACTGACTTTTGAGAAACCTTTTCATTTTTTCCATCCATGAAACATTGAACCTCCCCAGTATCATCAGTGTGGGAACCAAACTGAGCATTCCGTCATCTCACTAAATTTTGTGGCATAGATACTTTACCTCGAAATGCCATAAATCATTAATGGAGCGCCTGGTGGCTCAGTTGGTTAAGTGACTGACTCTTGGTTTCCCCTCAGGTCTTGATCTCAGGGTTGTGAGATCGAGCCCCATATCAGGCTCCATGCTCCACAGAGTCTGCTTGAGATTCTCTCTCTCTCCCTCTTCCTCCCCCTCTGCCCTTCCCCCTGATCACACACACACTGAGCTGTCTCTAAAATAAATAAGTAAATAAAAATCTTTAAAAAAATAATATTGTGGAGGCCAGAACTTTGAATAACAAAAAGCCCTATACTATATACTATATATATATATATATATATATATATATATATATATATATATATACATACACTGTCTTGGAAAACCTTGCTTTATACTGATGCTTTACCTTCTCTGCCAGTTTTAAGGATGAGAAATTATCTCTCCTTTATTTTTATAACCCCCAGCAAAGTCGTTTGCTGGAGATAAACTCATTAAAAATAGTTATTGAGTTAATGACTATATGCATGAATTAATGGAATTTATTTGATGAAAATAGAAGATTTATAAAATGCTAATGATTCCTTAAAATGCAATAGGAAATAGCTCATATTTCAAGTAATAGCCAAAAATGTGGCAGGGGAGATTTTGGCATATTTTATTTTAGATTTAGCATTTTTCTTTCTTAATAGCTAGTGGAAATGCTGGGAAATCTATCTCTCACAGCTCAGAAAAATGAGAATTCTGCAGTCCTTTAGCCATTAACATGTTGGAGGAAAAAGGATGGTTAATACCTAAAGACCAATATATTATGATCTTTTGAATCAAGAAATTGGGCATTTCTTCAACATTTTGAAATAAATACCACATACCGTTCTGTATACAGAAACATGATAAATGAAACTTAAAAGTTTCCTTAAGGGGCGCCTGGGTGGCTCAGTCGTTAAGTGTCTGCCTTCGGCTTGGGTTATGGTCCCAGGGTCCTAGGATCGAGCCCGGCATCCGGCTCCCTGCTCAGGGGGAAGCCTGCTTCTCCCTCTCCCACTCCCCCCGCTTGTGTTCCCTCTCTCGCTATGTCTCTGTCAAATAAATAAATAAAATCTTTAAAAAAATTTTCTTTAAAAATTTCCTCTGTAAGTTAAACCCAGACACACCATGTCTAAATGTATTTAATATTTATTTTTTACTCTTAAAGTGAAGCTATTTACATTTGACCTTAGAAGGCAAATCACATCAGTAGGACATCAGGGATTAAGCTCTGCAGTATTAAAGTTAGAGCATTCACATATTTGCAAATGTCTATGCAAATGTCATTAAAAAGAAAATTCACCATAAAATAAATGTTTATTCTTTAATTGTAAGTAATATAGAACAATCTGTACTTGGTTCTAAAGTTCAGTCAAGGAGAGCTTCCCAGGAGGTGTATTACTACTGTATGAGTGTAGAGAGCAGAGGTGGAGAATGCTTCTGGAGGTCAATCAAGGAGTGGCCTTCCATGGGATATTCAGAAAAGTTAATAGTTCAGTTATTCCCAAGAAGCCTTCTTGCTGCAGACCCGTAATTAATGTTCCCACTGCTCCTCTCTTTCGTTTACACCTTCTTCTTCTTCAGGGAATGCTGATTCATTCTGGCCTTTCAGATGCTTAACCCCTGAAATTATAAAAAATTATGCTCTATTTAAGTGAAATTTATTTCTAGCAGATTCATCGCTTTGCTGCAAGAGATAAAGAAAATGAGTGGAAAGTTTTTGCTGGTATATATGCGTTTTCTCCAAGAATTTCAAACATCTAACCCTATATAAACCTTTTAATTCACTGAGAAATCAGAACACACCCAGCCAAATTTCCATTAGAGACAGGCTTCCTTTATAATTAAATCTTCTCCATTAAGAATTGCATCACAGCCTATTAAAAACCTGTTAACTAAAAATCTGCTCACAGGCTCTTATTGTAATTCTGATATATCATTTAGCTCAAATATTTCTTTTGGCATCCCTGCACTTCATTACAAGGAGAACCATTGAAGAAACCCCTAGGAACAAAGGGGGGTGTGCGCCGTTTCTGTAACTTGTAAACAACAAAAGAATCACGATATTGTTAGTCTCCTTCAGGAACCAGAACATATTCATTTGATTACGAAACTTCTGTAGACAAAATTCTCCAGTAACTTCCCCCACCGCCCACAGAGGGGCAACCCACTGGAACCCTCTGCCTGCTCCCCAGGCTGATAGATCCTGGCCTCTCCCCACCTATTTGGCCTCATTCCTTCCCAGCCCTTCCTGCTTCCCCCTTTCACAGTAATCTATGAGTTACTAGTTAGGGACACTAACCTACTCTTCCACATTCCCTGATCATTCCGGGCTCCTTCCAGCCTCCATGCTCCTCTCCTTGTCTTCTCCCTGCCAAATAGCTTCTTCCTACTCCCCCACCGATAATCTCCTGCTCGTGCTTCTGCCTCAGCTTGCCTCCTCTGGGAAGGCTCCTCTAATTTCCCCAAGCGGACTTGGCTAGCCTTTTCTCATATTTCCCTCCTGCTCTTGGATCATTTTCTCTTGTATCAGTTACTTTATAGAACTGATTTGTTCACATATCTTTCTCATTGGAGCAAACTTCTTGATGTCAAGATTACATAGTTTCAGTTTGGGGTCTCAGGCACAATGCCTGGCAAACAGTACATACTCATCCATATTGACTGAATAAATGATATAACAAATAACTTGGTGTATGTTTTTGGCATATTTTTTTTCAAGATTTCAAAATTAACCCAAATTTGGAGTATAAACTGGAAGGCAACTACCACAACTATATACTCAAAATCTACAGAATTATCTTGTTTCACTTGGGTCTGTTCTGTTAAAACATCATACCAGCGGACACTCCATGCATTGCTACTTAACATGAAAATTTTTATACATATTTTATATTTTAGAAAATTGGTTTATAAGATTTTTCTAAGTATTACTGAAAAATATTCTGGTTAGAATTGACAAATGAAAGGAAGTCACTGCTCATGTTTGCTATGAAACAAGGAAACTCAAAAAACATGTGGATTTGCATTTACTGCAGTCAGCAAGCCTCAGAGTGCTGTTTGGCAAAGAGTGACATCCTTGGGCTTGGTGGATTATCTTGCAAAAATATTTGATCAGTTATAATAATATCTAAATACTTTAATTTCATCTGCAAACACAGATCCCTCAAAATTCCTTTTGACTCAAAACTGTAGATGGGCATTTATTATTAACAAATGGAACTTATTTTATATTATTATAAATTACAGGGTGGGAGGGAGATGTCTAAATGTTAAGGAGAAGGTAAGGGAATTCATTCATTCAATAAGCACCCAATCAGTTACTCTGCTAGAGTCTTATATACCTTAGTCACTAAGCCTCACAACTCCATGACTGAAATACCTGGATGGTGAAATTTAGACATGAAGAAGGGAAGTGATTTATTCAAGGTTATAAGGATGGTGTAGTTTTAAAAGAAGTTATGACACATCATATTTCCTCAGTATACACTGATGACTGACTGAATGAATAGTGAATGAGGCATAAAGTTCCATTGTCAGGAGACCCTAACTCATTTTCACCTTTAGCTTTTTGGATGCTGATATAGATTTTCCTGTCATTCTCTAGGATTTATTATAGGTTTACAGTACCTATTAACCTTGCTTAGACAATGCTGGGATTGACTCTGAAATATTAAAGCACAATAATCATTCAGCCACCTGTCACTTTCTAAGCTGAAATTGTCTGTGACTCAGTTTGAAAAGGTTCTATTACCTCTAGAGCTCATCCCTTTCATCCACAAGGTAACTACAGAGTAATAAAGTTGTGTTTAAGACAATTTTCTTTAAATTAGAGTTAATAACTTAATGGCAACATTGATTCATTTATATGAGGGGTTCAAACATCAAGAAAATAGGGTAACCAAAAAGTCCAACTTACTAAACCATCAGCCAATTACTTCCCTTACTTGAGTATAGGCCTACTTGCTTATCCTGACCCATATTTAATTTATTTTATAACCCAATAATGGTCACAAAGTTATATGAGGAAACCTTTTTAAAAGTAAAATCACTCACTTGGGCAAACCTTGGAGGATGCCTTTTTTAGCCTTTTTCAAGCGTGACATTAACTATTTCTAGGTGAAAGACAGGAGGTGATAACATGAACATCTCTACAGAACCACACATTCTTTGGTTCTCAAAGCACTTTACATTCATGTCATCTTTCCATTGAATAACGGGTAGTTGGTTAACTTGTGTCTTGAATCTTTTTTCCTATCAGTAATATTTGTTTGGTTATAGATGCAATTGTACTAAGATTAAAGTGTAAGGTCTATGAGGACTTTCTAATAATTTCTGTCTCCCCACTCCCTCCTCCTATTCCCAAACACACATATACTTTGTGTTTACATTTTTTTAAACCTTCATTTAATATTAAGGTAATTCTGAAGGTGGAAGAAAATAACTTGGTCTGGGGGCCTGAGAAAATCCTCAGAGCCGCCTCCTCTGCTGAATGCTAACAAGCATATATTGAAACATCTTGCCTGCACAGTACTGACTCGGCGCAGCATACAGCAAAGAGCCTCCTGGAACAAACTCAGACTCAGCCAGCCCTACGCAAAGCAGAAGGCCAAGAGATCCCAAAAAAACACAATGGAGGTTCTCTTCTCCATAACAAATGAACACAGGATAATATCGGAACCAAATGTAAGACCAAGATATGCAGTATGAACCCATGAAGGAATGAAGAAAACAGAGTTTGAGGAAAGGAAACTAGACTGAGTAAAAAAAGAAAAGGAAAGGAAATAAATGTTGCCCCAAACAGGACATAATCCTCCTGCTCTTCTCCATTCTGTAGATCAGGTGGTTAAATGTGAGTTGGATGAAGTTGGGAAGTGACAGAGCGAAGAAGGATGAATAATGAATCCACAGAGGGAAGCTTGTATTTGGCAAGCCATTGGTCAATATGTTTATCAATTAATTTGGAGTGAAAAAAAAGGGCAGGCTTATTTACATTTGTAGATGACACAACACTTGGAGGGAAAGATGGCATGATGAAGGACACAACTAGTATTCCCAAAGCTTTCTAAGAGCAGGGAAGAGGCTGATGCGGGTCAGGTGCAGGCGAACAGGGAGTTTTGCTTTTAGAAAGATTACTCTGCTTCTAAGAAATATAGAATGAGGGCAGTCTCGATTGATTATAGTTAGGGGTTTCAGGTGACCACAATTCTAACAGGACCCAACAGAGGCACCTGTTTAGGGACCAGGCTCTTGGTGGTATCAGCAGCCTTCCTAACATCAGGCAGCAGGCAGCAGGCAGCAGGAGTGACTCCCTAACTGTGGGTTGTCAGACCTTTTCTGGAATATACTTACTAAGTGTGAACTCTCTGTTTCAAGAGTTCTATTAAAGAAGGTAATTGAGATTAAAAGTAGTCTTATGAAATCACTTTTCTAGAACAATTATATTTGAAACTGGAATGCCTGGCATAGAGAAAACTAAGAGAGGACAAAAGAGCCTGCCATTGAATTCCTAACAGACTGGAAAAAGAATTGAAATTTATTTATGTAGCTTCAGAGAGCAGAAATAGGGTCAATAGCACACATTTATATGGTGAGGGCAGACTAGCTCAAAAAGAAAAGAAAATTCCTAAACTCTTTGTTTGCCCAGCAATAAACATGTGAGTGAGCTCTCATCACCATATAGGTTCAAGTCTAAATGTCTATCTCTGAGATGGGTCATAGAAGGAGGCCTGCATTGTGCAGCACGAGGGACTGACCACCTCGCTGACCCTGAGATGCTATTAATCCATAAAAGAGATCTACTGAAAAATTTGCTCTGCTGTATTTTAAATTACAAAAAAAGTAATTATGACTTCTAATGACATAAATGGTTCAAATCCACATTTTAAAACTAATTCACATTGGGAGTAGCAAATGTAAATGGATTTTATTTTTTCAACCGCATACTTTAGCCCTTAAAAATCATTCTAAAGTCCTCTAGGGAATATGTGGGTGGATTTTACAGAGCCTCTGACACTTTTGGAATTCTATTTATAGTTGTATTTGTGCTTTTTAGGGGGAAAAAGGCCCACAGTTTTCAGCAGAATCTCAGAGGGGTCTCTGACCCACAAATAATTGTGAATATGAATCCTGGTCTAATCTGCTTAGCTTAAAGATGAAGGAGCAATATCAGATGGCAAAGTGACTTGTTTAAATTCACACAGCAGTCATTGGCTGAGCTGGGACACAAACCTTGGCCCCTAATTCCTATTGGGGGCTCTTCATCTGGGTCACCAGGATCCAGTTTTGCCTTGTCATTGACCTTTTCCCAAGTTAAAACCTGAAGGAAAATCAGGCAACAAGATCACAAGAGCTTTTTTTATTATCATATTCCTTGAAGAACTTCACATACCAGATAGATTTAGATGTAACTTGCCAGTCTTTTGTTGTTGTTACTGTTTTTAATGGAATTTGGAATCAGAAAGATATAGAATTTAATCTCACCCAAGAATATTCCCAGAATAGAACCAAGCTACAAATAATGTTCAGGTTATCAGAAAAGAAGCAGCCTTTCTCTTTGCCATGCTCAAACCTGAGACAGGACTCTGGGAGACCCAGAAAACATGTCATGGTCTAGTCTGGGA